CAGCAGCAGGTGGTTTCAAGCTGCTGACCTTGTGGTTAGAAGCCTAAAGGGTAACCATGGCCCCATTCATCTATAATAGTCACCCAGAAACATTTTATTGAGTTGAACAAAAAATTAAGAGATTCACCCACAAAAAAGAGATCTGAATATATGCTCTCCAGATTTGCCTGGGCACTTGATATTTTATACGATATTCTCTGTCATTGAAACTCTTTTAAGAAGTGTGTACACCTGCCCAGTGGCTGGAAATAGGAAGAAACGGCTAGTTGTGACATCATCGCAGGCAAAGCTAATTGAAAGTCACAAAGTTGAGATTCTGGCCACTGGGGCCAAGTCCAAGACTGTAATCCACACCACAGGACGTATAGCAGGTATCCAATAAGATTGACCAAATGAGTGAATAAAGCATACACAAATGAATTTCTTAATTGACTATGAAAGGATCCCTCTAAACCGCACAGGCCCTGAGGTCAAATAGGTCCTGATACAAATGCAAATTTTTCATATGTTTTCCGAGATTCCTCTTTTCGCTCCTCATAAAAATTCAGGAATCCAGAATTCTGGACACTGCATATTTATTCCCTCTTTGCAAAGAAAGAAAACAAAATAAGTTGGTTGCATATATCAAAAACTCAGGGAGCCAAGAATAACCTCTGCGGCTCCAGTCCTTTCCAAGTTACACATGGGATCCTCTGGCCTGAACCTCCACGCCTTACAGGTTGAGCAGAACTCGGTGCGCAGGCCACAGGATGCAGTGGGGAGAAGGTCAAATCCAGAAGCTCAGATTTCTCAGTCAGTGAGCGCCCTGTCAGAAAGGGTCCCACCTCCTTGGGTCTCAGTTTCCCCACTGGCAAAAGAGAGGGAGGTAATTCACTCAGCACGTACTTGAAAAAGCTGCTCCTACATGCTTGGTGCCAGGGGCGGACCCGGTGACCTCTAAAGTCCCTTTCAGCTCAGAAAAGTCTGACGATTCTTATAGTCACACTTTTCAGATAGCTTTTTTGGTACTGACCTGCAAATTTTGCTGGAGACATAAACAGACTTCTACATAAAAACACACATCTACCAGCTGTAATGCGGACTTGGCAACATGAAGTTTAGCCATGGCGGAGAGGAAAAAGCACGCAATTCTCTCCGGCGATCATGTTACTGTAGGTTACATGGTACATCACAGCGACACGGTGGAGGCAGCTAGCGCTACAGTGGAGCACGGCCCCTGCAACACCAAGTCGCCACTACGCCGAGAAGGCACCTCCATGTTCTTCTGAACGTGTGTCAGCAATCTTCCAGATGAAGAGTCTCGAAAACCACACTCCTCTCCCTACCAGATCCGTCCTTTTCCATTGGGCAAACACCATTTTATTTTTCCTCCTCCTCCCTTCTGTTCAGCAGAGAACAGAAGCCAACAGAGCAACAGGCTTTTTGTTGATTTCCTTCCGTTTGAAAAACAAAGCCGAGCTTTCAGTACAGTTCTCAGGACAGAGCCCATGCAGAAAGATGCCTTGCAAGTTGCTGTAAGCCCCTGGTTCCTCTGTTCTCTGAAGGGAACTCACTGTCAAGACCTTAGTATTGCTGGTGTCAAAGAGACATTAGAACATCGAAATGGCACGATAGCCTTTCAGCTTAATAAATGCACATTTATGTTTCATTTGATTATTAGAGGTGTAGATTCACCTGCTTGTTCCTGATGAGGAAACGGGGACGTGAGACTTCATGAGGAGCAATTAGCTAGTGGATCACCTAGTGTTCAAACACAAGCCTCTCTCTCCAAACCAGTCTTTGTAGAAGTAAAGACTTCAAGATGTAACAAAATCGTTTCCATGGTGACTCTAGAAATGAAATACACTAAGTGCATCACTGAATTGGGTGGTGAATGTTCCAATACCCACTCCCAAAAAGGAAGAGTCAATGGACATACACAGCAAACTTCAACACTTTTCATTATGCATAAAATGAGTATAAGAATCAATCATATTATTCTCATTTTCCAAGGGATCTAACTATTGCATACAATGAATACAAGCCTTGAAGGACTTCCAGTGATTAGCATATGATTTTTTTAAACAACCTAAAAGAAAATAAAAAAAAAAAAAAAGGGCAAAAAAATTAACCCAAAAAATAAATTTGCAATAGCCTTTAAGAGATCAAGTCCCCAAACTGAACTGGATTTTACCCAGTTACAACTGGAACTAATCCCCACAGATCAATATCAAAAGTTTTGCTTTCCAAGATGGACCACATGAAATCAGACTACTAAAGGAGGCCATGTGGCTTCTTTCATAAATTTCTATTTAATTTTCAACTTCTCAGCCAAGCAGCCTTGACTCTTTACCCCATTTCAACCATGGATGGTTTACCCCAAATAAATCATACACCATCTCCCATACCAGACTTATTTCGTCCCAAGAGACTTTGTAACCTAGTTTGTTCACTTCCCTCGCCTTCCCTTTCAAGCTTCAAGAACACAGAATTCTCTGTCTTGTTTCCCACAGAATTCCCAGTCCTGGAACAGTGTGAGGAAAGGCTGTGGTCTTCTACTCCCATAGACAGTTACCGTGTCAGAATCTACAGGGACAGCCCTACCCTGTCCTATTGGGTTGCTACGAGCTGGGTCAGGATCCACTCAGTGGCTGTAAGAGTGAGAACAGTGCCGAATTCATGAATCACTTTTCCTGTGTTTCTCTCAACCTCCAATTAAGTAGAAAGCTAAACCAAGAACCAAACCATGTAATCCATTACCATATATACTCGTGTATAAGCCGAGGTTTTCAGCACGTTTAATGCCGTTTTTGTGATAAAATCCGGAGGCTCTGCTGATATTCGGGACGGCTTATACTCGAGCATACATGGTATTTCTTACAGTTTTCCTTTGTAAAACTTCTTATGGGAAAAAGTAAATAAGAATATCTACCTCTATACCTAGTAGTTATATATCTCTGTAGAAGGAGGCTTAAAAATGTGGGGGAAGCTTCTGGCATGGACTTCGCATGGGAAGCTGGTCAGAGACTGTCCGCACTGCTCTACTTTGGGAACTTTTCTGCTTCCCTGCTCGGTTAAACCCTGTAAACATGTATCGCTTGCATCTTAGGAGGGTGGATACAGTTCAACAAAAAAGTGAATTTAAAACATAAACTTTTCTATTGGCCATACACACACAAAAATGTTGTGGAAAATGTAATTAAATGATAATACAATTTTGACACAAAGTGTTCTGAGGAAAACACTATATAAGTGAAGGTATATAGACTTAGACAATAAACCTCCACACACACCGTAATTAGCAATGGATGAGTTGTAGCAAACTAATATGCCCTTCTCGCCATAATCCTTATGTACACTATGTGTAACATAAGTGTTGTAATTCTGGACTCCATATCTGCACCTATAATCCCAATTTGCAGGGAGTTCTCTGTTATGCTAATGGACAGAATTAAAACAGTGGAATTACGTCTTGACCTTAGTAGAGGGTCTGAACCAAGTCACACCCTCTGTATCCATGAGGGTATTGTCTATTAAAAGACAACAACAACAACAACAATAAACCACATCGCCATCAAAGCCATAAGATCCATTTCAGACACAGGGAGAAATCCCAGACAACTGGATGAAGATCACTGTCCAGAGCTCTGTCTGAAGTGGTGGAGGCCCGAGCAGAGGCACCAAGACTACAGGACAGAGCAAAGGATCAAGGCTGAGAGCAGATGCCCAGGAAGGAGACCATGTTGTCGAACACAGGAGTAACAGCAGGGCTCCAGGACTGTGAGGCCGAGTAACAGGTGGGCGTCCTGGCCCACAGAAGCCGAGGCCAAGAGAAAGAGGCTGGAAAGCAGGAGAAATTTGGCTGCTGCCAGAAGACAGGTAATGCTGTGGACCAATGACAATATCATTACTATTTACTAATCCTGGCATAGGGTAACCTGTTAATTCCCCTAACAAAGTCTCCTAATGGTGCGGATCATCTGCTGAGTTCTGTGTGGCCATGGCCACTAATTATCCCAGCTCAAGTCAGTGTTGTGGGAGGAAGAGTTGGTGCCAGAGAAGTAGCGGATAGAGGGGGAGGGGCATTTCTGACGCTGCCTCGTGGCAATAGGGAAGCCAGAAAGTTGAACATGGCTCTTATTTTTTTCAATGGATATTTTTGGCATCTATTTTTTTAACTCCGTGTCCCACTACTCTTATCATGTTGAAGCAAATGCAAACACTATTATGTCTCCACCACAGGTCTCTCTGAATGTGTCTCCAAAATATAAGAATTCTTTTTCTGCCCCCAGCAGATCTATCATATCACATAAACAATAGTCCTAGAGCTTTACCATTTACTTTTCCTTTCTGACTTAAATGACATCGTCCGCTTAAATCACAGCAACAGGTCCCCAGTCTCCCTACCTACAACCACAGTCTTACTCAGTCTGCAAAGGATTTCTGACCACCCTTCTTCCTCTGGTCCTGAGTTACGTTGCAAGCAACACTGTCCAGAGCATGACACTTCTAGGAAATGAAGATATATATAGATATATTTAAAATATGCATCTTTGAAATTATCCAGGAAAGAAACATCATAGAAGTTTTGCTGTTTTTTAGGTAGAAAGATCTTGCAGAACAATTAAGACTGGCGGTGATTGATCAAGGTCTGAACCTACCAGCCTGACTCTTTAGTTTGTGGATAGAGAAAAATGAAAGGCAATAGAAAAGCTTGGTTGGTGTCCCACAATAATAAGAAAAGATGAACATCTCAAGTGGCATCCCTACAAATAAAAAATGGCTTTCAGCTTCAAAACAAAATAGGTAGGTCAAAGGATTTCCAAGGCTTCAGCACGCAAGCCGGCAGAACTCAAAGCAGCTCACGGTGGGCATTTTAAATGAAAGTTCCTCAGCTCTCTGTGAGTTGTAAAGCTCTCTGTAGGATCTGGATAAATATTTATCCACCACAGAAACAATCACCGAGTTCATGAACTTCCTGGCAGGGCTTGCACAAAGATGACTTCAGCCCCAGATCTTACCTGGATTCTGAAAGCCCCTTCTTCCAGGGGTGGTGGAGGAGGGAAGTTTCCAGGGCCAGGTGGAAGGGCACTGGGCTCATCCAAAGGTGGAGGTGGTGGTGGAAGAAAATCACCTACGAAAAGGAAATAAAAACATGGAGTTAGTGTGCATGCCACGGTCTAAGTCCTCCTGAAAAACACAAACAAACTTGTGGTGATCTGTTACTGCTTTGTCATTGTCTTAGAGATGCCATCGTCTGCTTTGAATAGCAATTACCCCCCCGAGTTTAGTCCAGTTCAGTTCAGTGACAAGCCCTCACTTTCAGGAGGAGACCAGATTTCATACAGACAAGAAGAGAAAAATGGTAGTCTAGGGAAGTCAGGTAGATTCAGCAAGAGGCCGGAAGGTGCTTGAGGTGAAAGGTTACTGAGACACAAGTACTTACCTGAAAGATTTTTACAATCAAGCAGAAAAGGTTGGATGGGGGTGTATGTGAGTACATACCACATGGAATAATAGAAGATGCAATTAAGATGCATAACAACAGTCTTTTGGATAAAAGCAAAGTTTATGTCCAGTTATGTCCTGCATCTGTGCACTAAATTATATTAGTTGGGGAAAGGATTCAAATAGATCTACTTTGTGATGCAGAGACCAAGTTCAATATGGGCTGAAAGTCGGAGGAATAAGAGCTAAGGATGAAAAAAAAAGCAGGGCCGAGGAGATACGGGCAATTTACAATTAGGCATAAACACAGGAATATAAAATGATACCTACCGGGTTATTAAAATTAGGGAGATGATGAAAATAAAAATTTCAATATATTATATGCCTAGAAAAAGGTTATCATTTTATCATGCACGCAGTGAGGATCCATCGAGGATTTCTTAGAAAGAAAATTGTTCCCAACTATAATTCACCAAGAGCAGCTCACTTTGAAAAATAAGGGGCACCTGACTCAGGCCATGGCATTTTCAATTGTCTCAACGACATGTGGACGCTGGATAACGAAGATTGAAGACCACGGAGAACGAATGTATCTGAATTCCTACGGGAGCTGCTGAAGAGGACTGAATGGACTGTGGACTACCAGATGCACATAGAAATCTTATTTTGGAAGAAGTAGCTAGAATGCTCCTTAAAAGTGAGAATGGTGAGGCCTCATCTCTCGCACTGTACACGTGGGATCAGGAGAGACCCGGAACAGGACTTCATATTTGGTAGAGGGCCAGCGGATAAAAAGATTTAAAAAAAAAGAGGAAGACCCTCAAAGCAAGAATGCTGACACAGGGGTTGAGTCCATAGATTTAAACACGAAGGTTCTGAGGATGGTACAGCATGGTACAGGGTTTCTTTCTGTTATCCAGTGGATCACTAGCAACAACACAACAAAGACAGGCTGAAAGAAAACCTGAGAGCACACAATGGATAGGTGTGTGTATAGCGGGGGATAAGAAACATCAAATTCAGAAATCTACAGACCCAGGGAAAGTTATTAGCTTTATCAAAGTACATGATCAGCAAGAAAAGCATTACACAACACTGAAATTAGAGTTGTAAAAATATATATCTAATCCCTAAGGGTTGAGTCATATACATATATCCAAGCGCCTATGTATTTATGATATGACATTTTAAAACTATTACATGAATAGAATTCTATTGGGAAAATGAAAACTTCCATTTCTCAAAACTCTTATTTGAAAAAAAAAAAGTGTTTTTGATGCACTGGGAAAGTGTTGTCCTCTATGAAAAAAAAGCAGCTTCCTTGCATTCTAACTCATCCACATGTAAACTCGTCCACACATATTGGTAGTGAGCCATCTCTATCAGTGAATAAGTAGCTTTGATATTGTTGCAAAGTAGTATAACTGAGATCTTCAGAAAAAGAAGAGTTTCAGTACCACAGTGGATGGAAGTTTTTATATTTGCTATTTCTTATTTAAGTGATTCTATTGTGTTATCAGGATTGATTAACCCTTTTTTGATCTTTAGTTGACTAATAACTATAATAAAAACATTTAACATATATTAAATTAAATATAAGTGGCTAGGTAAAGACTGTCACCAAATTCTCTAAAATAAATATAAAATATGAGAAGAATGTTCACAATTTTCATGGTGATTAGGCAAAGAAGAGCTAGGCTGTTGGAGAGTCCACTGCTTGGGTTTTAGCTATCTACATCTTATTCATACCCACTTTGAAAGAGGATTTCTGAGCACCATCTTATCCTCCACCAAATTCTATTAAGCCACTGATAACTGCCAGAGTACAACTATCAGTCTTCAAAGAAATCAAAGATCATAAATAGAGGTCCACAAAACCTACATTTGTTGTATAAAATCTCGCAGCAAATTAGCGTCTTCTCACTCGACTCTCTTTTATTCTATTTCTCTAAGAATTTATAGGTTTGAAAAGGAACTCACTGGTGGGCAAATGGAATAGCAATGGAAAACGGAATAGTACAGGAAAACAGAAAGGACATATTTTAAGAACCAAGTCGAAAGTAACACATTTAGATTGTATATTACATATACTAATTACGATGAGACAAAAATTAAGATGCTCTGCTCTGAACCTCATAAAAATTATTTGCTTTATGTAGAACAGTTATTGAAACCAGTACTTTCTTCAAGCTCAATCATGAAAGGCTTCTTATACTTTGCTTTAGAATGAAGCTTACATAGTAAAAAGATGTGGAAGAACAAGAAAACATTTAGAAAAGAGAAAGCAACACGATTACATTATATTAAAAAAAATCTTTGGAGGAAAGCACCACCGACTTGGAATGTTGGTTCAAAAAACTCTTTTCTTATTATCTTAAATCATACCAAGAGACTACACGAGGATGTACAGTTCAGCATTCCAACTGACAAGTGACCAGGAAAAACATTTTCCAAAGGAAGACTAAGTTCATCCCAAGGAAGAAGGCCAGCATTTTCAAGTCTTTAGAGGACGGCCAATTGGAAAGACCAAAATATATGTTTTTAGGGGAGAAGGGGTCAACCCTTCCACCTCACAGCTTTGTATTTTATGGTGGTAAAAATAAACCAAACACCTTCACCAGTTCGATTAATTTCATCACGTACAATTCAGTGACATTGCCAACATCCTTTCCTCCTGTAGTGCAAACATGGTTGTCCTTTTCCAAATAACTCTACAACAATTAACATGAACGCAATGCCTCTGAGAAACAACTCCCCTTCCTCCCAATCGTGCTGCCCACTAATGGACGTTGGTTTCATTGCTTTGCTTAGTTCATATAAGAAGAACATGTACAGAGCCCCAGGGGTGCAGTGGTTCAGTGCTGGACCACTTACAGAAAGGTCAGTGGTTTGAACCACGAGGTAGGGAGAAAGATGTAGGGATCAGCTACCATAAAGTATACAGCCTTGTGAACCCAACTGGATAGTTCTATTCTGTCTTAAGGGTTGCTATTGATCGAAATGGGCTC